CCGAATTCTCTTCAAATGCTTGACGGTAAAAATTGGATCCGATGAAAAAGCAGATGCAATCCTTGTTTGGCTTCCATGAAACCGTAGAAGTGGTTACCAATGACGTTCCTGCGTTGTCTGCAAATGCAACTGACGAACAGAAAAAAGCCCACAACGAAGTCAAGAAGAAAGATTGCAAGGTTGCTTATTTCATTCAAACGGTTGTCGATGCTGCTAATTTCGACAGAATCTCTCATGCTGAAATGATGAAGGAGGCATGGGATATTCTGGTGAAGTATTAAGAAGGAGGTGAGAAAGTCAAGGTTGTCAAATTACAAACCTTGCATCGACAATATGAGTTGTTGTCAATGGAAGAAGATGAAAAAGTTGCAGAATATGTGTCGAAGGTTCAGAAACTCGTCCATCTCATGAAGGGTTATGGTGAAACCATTACTGATAAGATGATAGTTGAGAAGGTAATTAGAACGTTGACCTCTCACTTTGATCATATTATCGTAGCTATTCAAGAATCCAACAATCTTGAAACCACTAAAGTGGAAGATTTGGTTGGTTCGTTGGAGGCGTATGAGATGAGGATTGTCGAAAGGAAAGGAGTTCAGGACTCGATATAGGCACTGCAAGCTCAGTCATGGAAAAAGGATGGTGGTTCCAACAAATTCAAAGGCAAGTTCGACAAGACTCATGGAAAGAAGTCTTGGTCGAATCCCCATAAGAATAAGGTCGAAGATAGATCTTCTGAATCCTCGAAAAGGGGAGGAGGAAACTATCGAAAGGACAAAGAAGATAAGAAAGGTATGCAATGTTATAACTGTGAAAAGTGGGGACACTTGGCCAAGAATTATTGGTACATAAAAGACAAGGGATCGACAGGCAAGGATGAAGGAGAGAACCTTGCACGCCAAGATTCAGATGATTCTAAAGATGGAATGGTGGTTATGGCTGCAGTTGCAGATAACCATGTCAAATCCAAGATCTGGTTTCTCGACTCAGGCTGCTCGAACCACATGACTGGTCGAAAGGAGTGGTTGGCAGATTTTAACGAGTCGAAGAAGAGCAATATAAAACTTGCTGATAATAGTTCATTGGAAGCAGAAGGTACTGGAAACATAGTTTTTCAAATGAGTAATGAATGGAAAGTTATAATCAAAGATGTGCTCTATGTACCTGGAATAAAATGAAACTTACTAAGTGTTGGACAACTAGTCGAAAAAGGTTTCTCATTTGTCATGAAATATGGAGTTTTGAAATAGTTCGACACTAAGAATAATTTGGTCTTAAAATCTCCATTGTCGATGAACAGGACATTTAAGACTATGATCAGTTCGACAGAAGTTCAACGTTTGAAAACTGTTGTCGACCACAAGGGTAGTTGGTTGTGGCATTTGAGGTTTGGACATTTGAATTTTCGATCACTTAATCAACTGATTACTCAAGATATGGTTACTGGTATTCCAAGCCTTGAGATGCCTGAAAAACTTTGTGAAGGTTGTTTAGTGGGAAAGCAATCCAGAAATTCTTTCGTTTCGACTATATCAATGAGATCATCCTGCATTCTTGAAGTGGTGTATTCAGATGTATGTGGTCCATTTGAAGAACATACAATTGGTGGAAACAAATATTTTGTTTCGTTTGTCGATGAGTTTAGTCGAAAGTTGTGGATCTATATGATCAAATGAAAGGACGGAGTATTCAAAATCTTTAAGAGATTCAAGATACTTGTCGAAAACCAGAGTGAGAAGAAGATCAAAGTTCTGCGAACAGATGGAGGTGGCAAATACACATCCAACATGTTTAAAGATTTCTGCACAGAACATGGTGTTGATCATGAGGTAACTGCTCCTTATACACCTCAACATAATGGAATTGCTGAAAGAAGAAACAGAACTATATTAGATATGACGAGATGCATGCTGAAGCAAAATAATTTTCCAAAGTCTTTATGGGGAGAAGTTGTTTCAACTGCAGCTTATATTTTGAATAGGTGTCCTACTAAGATATTGAAGAACAAGGTTCCTGAAGAAGTGTGGAGTGGCAAACGACCATCAATAAGTCATTTGATGGTGTTTGGCTCTATGTGTTACAAGCATGTTCCTGATGCAAGGAGAAGGAAGCTTGATGACAAGAGTGAACCTATGATTCTGGTAGGATATCATAAAACTGGTGCATACAGACTATTCAATCTAGTTAATGAGAAGATTGTGTTGAGTCGAAATATTGTGATTAATGAAAATTCTTCATGGGATTGGAATTCTAGCAACAAGCCATTAATGAACTTTGATTTCGACGAAGAAACTAACGAAGTAGAAGTCTACGGAATTATTGAGAATCTAGTCAAAGGAATTATTGAGAATCCAGTCGAAGTCGAAGAAGAAGTAGTTGCTGACACTCCCGACACAGTAGAAGTCGAAGAGGCTATGGCTGAAACAAGCCAAAGACCTCAAAGAAATAGAGTTCTTCCAACAAGACTTCATGATTATGAAGTGGTGGGTGATGATGAAATCACACCAGATGGAGAATTAGTTCACTTTGCTTTACTTGTAGGTGCCGAACCAATCAACTATAGCGAAGCTTTGAAGATTAACAAGTGAAAGTTAGCTATGATCGAAGAGTTACAGGCAATCTAAAGAAACAACACATGGGAGTTAGTCGAATTACCAGCACATACAAAAATTATCGAAGTAAAGTGGGTGCTCAAGTTGAAACACAATGCAGATGGGTCAATAACAAGACATAAAGCAAGATTAGTAGCTCGAGGTTTTCTTCAAAGAGCAAGACTCGACTACTCTGAAGTATTTTTCTCCAGTAGCAAGATTAGAGACTGTTCGACTAGTAGTACCATTGGCATGCAACCAAGGCTGGTCGACATTCTATCTAGATGTGAAATCAGCATTTCTAAATGGTCCTTTAGTCGAAGAAGTTTATGTCACACAACCTCCTGGGTTTGTGATTCGGAAGGAAGTGATTAAAGTATATAGATTGCACAAAGCCCTCTATGGCCTCAAGCAGGCACCTAGGGCATGGAACAAGAAGATCGACTCATACTTAGTCGAATTAGGATTTGTCAAATGCAAATTAGAGTATGGTGTCTATGTTCAGGTTGTAGCACAAGATATAACAATCATATGCTTGTATGTTGATGACTTGTTAGTAACTGGAAATAGTTTGGAGAACTTGTCGAAGTTCAAAGAGATGATAACGAAGGAATTTGAAATGTCGGATCTAGAAAAATTGTCTTATTTTCTAGGCATGGAATTTCAAATGTCGAAGCAAGGTATGGTGCTACATCAAAGAAAGTATGTCAAAGAGATATTCAAGAGATTCAGAATGGATGATTCAAATCCTGCATCCTCACCTGTCGAACCAAATGTGAAGTTGGAGAAGAATGGAGAGGAAGACAAAGTCGATGCAACTTTGTTCAAGCAAATTATGGGATCTCTGAGGTATGTGTGCAACAGTCGACCTGATATAGGTTTCGCAATCGGATTAGTAAGCAGATATATGGGTGAACCAAGAGTGTAACATATGAAAGCTGCAAGAAGATTCCTGAGATATTTGAAGGGTTCAATAAATTGAGGAATACTATTTCGACGAGATTCTGAAGGCAAAGAAGCAATAGTTAATTGTTTTTAGATGTTGATTGGTGCGGAGATAAGGAAGATCGAAGAAGCACAACTGGATATTTCTTTCAAGTATTTGGTGTCTCAATCTCATGGTGTTCGAAGAAGCAACTTGTGGTGGCATTGTCATCGTGTGAAGCTGAATATATAACATGATCCTATGTTGCATGTCAAGTAATTTGGATTAGATTTGTACTTGAAGAAATGACTGTCGAAGTGAAGAAACCTCTAGTATTGCAAATCGATAACAAGTTTGTCATAAATCTGGTGAAGAATCTAGTTCTGCATGGAAGAAGTAAACATATTGAAGCAAGGTTTCACTTCTTGAGGGAAAAAGTAAATCAAGGTGAACTTGAAGTTAGGAATTGCTCAAATGAAGCACAGTTGACCGACATTTTCACCAAATGATTGAAGATCGACAAATTCCTGAATTTGAGAACGAAATTAGGAATAGTTCAGATTGACTATTTTTGAGGATGCTCGACAACTTAGATTATGGGGGTGTTGAAATATTAAATTAGATTAGATTAGATTAGATTTAATATTTAATATAATCTAAGTTGTGTTAGCCCAAGTCCAATTAGGGTTGTATATAAATAGTCATATTGTGTATCATTAGTTGTACAATTCAATAATACAAATCTTTATTTTCTTTATTATTCTCTCTTTCTCTTCTCATTACAAGTGTCTCACGCACTAACAGATTGATGCTGGCATGATCCCTAATTAAATTGAAAAAAATTCATTCAAAAAATTTGAAATTTTTGTATTTAAAATTTAAAAATATTTTAAGATAAAATATTTTTTATAAAATTTGTCATTTATTATTGGATGGAGAAAATGCATAAAACTTTACAATTTTCATTATTTTTATTTAAAAAAACAGACTATACACAAGCTATTATAATATAATATATAGAGCAAAGTTGCTCTTACAGATATTATTTTTCTCATTTGTATACTATCAATTGTCATCTTATTCAAGTTAGGAAGCATGTTAACATGCATGCTATAATAATAAATCCACCAAAATGTTTCATCTACCTTATGACTACTTCATTAGACAGGTCACTTTGTCTTAATATTCTTCCCATTTAAAAGTCAAACAACAATACTATTTATTATAGCTATATGCCCTTTTCCCATAGTAATAAACAAATCCAACATAATCTCATACACTATCTTAATATAATTATTTAAGAAATAGTCAGATATTTATCATAAACATTTCCAGCACCACTTAGTGCTAGTAGTACAAACAGAAGTACAACTAAGAAACAAGTTGATACGTTGTATTCTGAATTTCTAAAACTCCCTTTAGAGAAAGGCTTATTTTGTTTGAGTTATGATGACATTTATTTTCATGGATCCATAATCTTCAATTCATCTTTGAGATGAAAGTATTTCATCAATTGCTTGCTTTACTTGACCAATGTCAGGAGCTTTTCCACCATTCACAGGCCAAAATTCATCAGCTGCCAACACCTGAACATTGAACAAATATAGAACAAGAATGTCACAAGTCAAAACCAATGTTTCACTTTCAATACAAAGATGACATTGTTATAATTTTAGTGTTCTGTGCTCAAGTCTCACCTTGACTTGCAACTGAAGAAACTTCACATAACTAATTGCTTTTTCCAACATAGTAACCAAATCAACCTACAAAATTCATCAATATCAGAATAAAATATAATTCTAACAAGTAAAACTAACAAAGATTTTGTCACAGAAGTGCAAAGAAAGCAACTTAATTTTGAGGACTAGTTTGATCAAATCTACCTTGGAACCGTTGGGAACAAGTTCTTGTAGGATCTTGAGCCTCTCACTTATTCTCTCTCTTCTATTCTGTGATACAAACATTCTTTCAACACTAAGTATTTAAATTTTGCTTAAATTGCAATCAAAACATGATATAACTTGTGTTTGAAGCAAACCTTAGCAGCAACACTTTGAGGATCTTTGGATGGATTTGACTTCGGTTTCGCCGTTTTACTTGCAGTTGTGCATGGCTTCTTTGCATTAGCAGGTTGCATGTTCTCTCCCTATAAACACAAATCTCATCTCAATTTTCTATTCTAGTTACATAAAATTTTCAAAGGACTAGTTCTAAAAAGGTAGAAATTTTTTGCTTAAATAAGAATGCATTACCATTGAAGAACGCTTCTTCGCGAAGGAATAATGAGTTTCCGACTCTTTTATTAACCTATCATCCTCATCACAAGGGACATTTGGATCTGAGTATAGCCACCCACACGAACTTTCACCATTTTGCTTCTCTTTAGCACTATTGAATATGGATCCATAGCTTCCACTAGAAGTTTCAAAGCCATTGAAACCTTGCACCATGCACAAATTTGTGATGCTTTTAGGACTAAGATGATTCCATTGTTGCAAATTGTTCTCATTGGAAGCCATATTCCAGCTCTGCTGAAAACTAAGCAAAGATTCACTACTTTGTATGAGATTCTCATAAAACTTATCATCATCACCTTTGAAATTAATCAAAGACTCTTCTTCTTCAAGTTCATAACTTGTAGTGTTATAAACATACCCTTTTTTGGTAGAAGAATGAGTAGTGGCAGAAGCAGAAGCTGATTCATTGCTTTGTGAACCATCTTCTTCTTCTTCTTCATTGATACCATGAGACATAACAGTGTTAATCTCCATTGTTGTCTCATCAAAAACACAAGTTTGGAACTTGGTGTTATGGATTGAACTATATAGAATATTGTTGTTGGTCAGTGCCATTAAAGAGGGCGAGGAAACAAATGCAAAAAAATCCAAATAGGGTTTATTTGGGAAGGGACAACTAGTGAAGGAAGAGTCTTTATAGATGTCTAAACTTCCAAACCTACTAGTGTAATTTTTTATTGAAGATTGGAGTAATAATTGATACTTGAACTGAAATCATAACTATGTGGGAACAATAAATCAAAACTTTATATTAGAATATATTTATGTGGTCCCTTATAAAAAACACAGCAAAATTTGCGTGAGAAACGGCGAAACCTTAGCCAAAACCACGTATTATTGTGTCTATGATTTCCATTTGGTTTGATGCATGGAGCTATTTATGGTAGCTTCTGATATGCTTCCTATGTATTACTTAAGCACGTGGACTCAAATTCTGTTTACATATACTATATATGTATTAACATTCTGTGCAGCTGTCGCTTCTCTGGAACTGGGTCATTACTTATTCAACTCTCTAAGATAAAATACTACTAGTTTGTATAAGAGTTTGATAATAATTCCATTTGTTTACTCTTTTGGTTTTATTACTATATAAATATGTAAGTTTAATGTCCAATAAATAGGGAAAGTAACGTGGGAAAATATGCCATATCATAGGGATATTGTAGAAAACCCAACTAAGCTTATCTTATATAGGACATGGGATGTTCCATTCGATTAATTTGTTGTCGAACTTAAAAGTAATTAAATAATAATCTATCACCGACTATTCCCACGAGTAGTCAGTGTTTTTTCTTATTATTTGATGTACGTGGCATCTTTCATTTGACTTTATTTTCATCTATCTTATTTCATTTATGTTCTTTTTATTTTATAAGTGGACCTCAAAATTTGTCCTCATAAGTTTTCTATTATCTGGGTTAGGTTTCGCATTGCATTTGCATATATTTCATTAGGTCACTAACATAGCATGCATTGTATTGAATAAAGTGCCTGAGGTTCAAAGTTCAGTGGTCGTGCAATATTAGGGTTTCATTGTGATTGAAGTGTACAAATCCAATAAAGATTGTTTTCTTCTGATTCTGATGAATCTTCATCAAGCAGTGAGGTAGAGATTTAGGGTTGTGGTTTGTGGTCATTAAGAATTTCTTCTTCGTCAAGCTATAAGGCCATTCTCCATCCAGTTTCATCAGTTCCAAAAATTAGGGTTTATTTCCCTATGTATCTCATGAAATTAGAGTTTTATCACAGTGATGTCTTTCTATGCTTCCAGTTTCATCTGAGTCAAAGGATTCCCCAAGGGCATAAGTTTTATGATGAGGTTGTTGGTTTTCAAGTTAATATGACTTGTGGTTTGAATCGCTAAGAGTGTGAGCCATGGTATAAGACATGATTTGCAAATGCACCATCATTCTTTCCATATACTTATCGCTTATCATGCAAGTTTGGCTTAGATTGGAAGATTGGACGAAAAAGAGGTCTTTATGTAGAATGGATTGAGTTGGATTGATTGCTCGATGCCCGAGTCGAAATTGTTCGAGAGCATATGTTTTAGGCCTAACGTCAAGATAGAATACAAGTTAAACCAAAAAGAACTATGCACGGGATTTCTTAGAAATTAAGTCACGATTCAACTTCATCTTCATTATTCATTCATTTCAAATTTAGGCATTATTTCCAAACCAAGGATGGCAAAGTTGAAAGATTCATATATTTGGATTAATTGGAACTTAGAGCATACCATTTTGTTTCATTCTAAATTCAAGATTTCAAGGTCTTATTCAATATTATTCAAGTTCAATTGTCAAAAGCCTCTCAAACACAAGTCCAAGTTTCAAATTACATACAAACTCATCATTCTATGTTGCTACAATTCATGTTATTCCTCTTGCTATGCTATAAACGTATCTCAAATACACTTTACATTCAAATCAGAAGACTACAAAAAATACTAAGCCTAAACCTAAAGTCTTCTCCAATCTTTGCTCCATCTCCAGCTTGTCTTCATGCCATTAATCACGAGCTTGCATTCACAAAAACAACAAAAGCAGACCTGCATATGGCCTTGCCATTTCCTTGACTCACAACCCAATATCAAAACCAATCCGCACCTGTTTCAAACATAGCAAAACCAATGAAACTCAAAATATTTCAGATCAGCTTGCAAAAAGGGCAGGATATCAAGAAAAGTTTACAAGAAAACTGTGTGAAATTCCTAACAGGAGGTCAAAATGTATCGGCCAATTTCATCAATAATAGAAAATCCCAAACCAAAAGAGCAGCAATTAAAAACCATGAGAAATCCATTCGTAATTCGGTTCACACAAAACGATTCTAGACTGAAAATAAATACAGCCCCGCATCAGTATAATCCAATCACATCAAAACCAATTCAAGCGTCCAAAACCAGACCAATAAACAAATGCCCTGCATTAATACAAAAATGAAAAGCCAGTCCTGCAGATCAAAATAATCCACATCCTGGTACAGGTACAGATTCAGTTTACCAAACCAGAAAAGAGGCATCAGCTGAACCAGCAAAAAAAACCAAAAATAATTAGCTGTAACTAATATCATTATAACCATTGAATCAGCTCTACAAAACTTTGAAATTCAAGTCAACCTTCCAACTTATTGATATACCATCCTAACGAAGTGTTTTTAGCTTCAGTTGAAGCTACTGGAAAATACCACTAACAGAAACTATTCGTTTCTAACCCTTAATATTATTAGTTCCAGCTCATCTAACAGATTCTAACTAACTTTCCCAACTCCATAACCAATTCAATATCTCACCATCTATTGCATAACTAACCGATTCAATATCTCACCATCTATTGCATAACTAACCGATTCAATCCAACAGTTCATATTGGATTCAACTATAACTAACTTTCTACTCTACAAATACACTAAAAAACAGAAACTCACCAATTCATGATTCAGTCTTCATCGTTATAAGAATCACACCAAAATTCTCCCTTCTCCTCTCATCTTAATTCTTCACCTTGGAGAATTACCAAAAACCAGAAAACTCTTCAATCTTTCTCTCTGAAAAAATCATGAAATCTTCATCACCTTGCTTCACTTTCTCTTCTACGCACGACCTTCAACCGTTATCACTCCAATCTTCAACGAAATCGTCACTTCAATGCACAACATCGTTGAGTCCTCACATCAACGTGCTTCCATCTTCAACCTTCATCACATTCACACCTTCGTATCTTTCTCTGCAACATATCGCTACATCTCCGTTTCAATCATCACCATCATTTGCGTTCAAGAATTTCATGCAACAACAGTTCGTAATGTTGACACACGCGAAAGCACAAAAGCAGAAGAAGATATCGGAATCATGAACCGAAAAAGAAGAAGTAAAGGTTGAACGCAAAGTCAGAAGGCTTACACAATTTGTGTCTGAACTCATTAGAAAAAGATGAAACAAGGAATGCAAATATAATCGGAATAAAGAAGAAGAGTGGTTTGAAGAACATTCTCGCGGTGGACGATCAATGATTCACGGCGGCACTTGGTCCAGTTGCGAAACCTAGGCGGTGCAATAATGAAGTAGACGGAGGCAGGTCGGTCTTGGTGGTGGCATTATCTCAAAAAGTGGAACAAAAGTGGAAACAGAAGGAGTCCATCGAATTCTGAGGAAGAAGAAGGTCTAGAGGTTGAACCGTCATTATCTATTAACCCTAGATTCCTTTCCAAAATACATGTTCCAAGATTTTTGCCCTCTTTTCATTAATTATTATATTTATTTATTTGTTAATTATTGAGATTTATTACATATTTTGCTCTAACTTCCACCGGTAGAGGTTATTGTTATTATTACACATTTATGTGTTGTTATTGACTGTTACTATTACCTTATATTCAGGAGTTTATTATGATTGAAATTCTTAAGATTTATTAGATTTTATAACCGATTGTAAACAGGTAGTCTTGTAATGTGTATATATAGTAATTCTAAAGTATGAATAGATAGAATTGATATATTACATTTGTGGTGAATTTGACATGGTATCATGAGCTAGGGAATATCCTAAAATTAAATACATTTTTTCTTCTTCCAAATCAAGCACCATAAGAGATTATGGCTGATAACAGTGGTAATAAGGAGAAGAAGGTGGATTTGGTGTTTTTTCTCGGCACCAATGACAATCCCGGCAACGTGATCACACCAATACAATTGTGTGGACCGAATTATGATGAATGGGCAAGGGCAATTCGAACCTCGTTGCAAGCAAAGCGAAAATACGGTTTTGTGGAAGGGAAAGTCCCAAAACCAACAACACCTGAGAAATTGGAAGACTGGACTGCAGTGCAGTCGATGCTCATTGCGTGGCTGTTGAACACGATCGAGCCATCATTGCGCTCTACTCTTTCTTATTATGATGATTCACAATCCTTGTGGACACATCTCAAGCAACGATTTTGTGTTGTGAATGGTACTCGTATATGCCAATTAAAGGCATCACTAGGAGAATGCAAGCAAGGCAAAGGTGAAGAGGTGTCGGCCTACTTCGGTCGTCTGTCTCGTGTATGGGACGAACTTATGACTTATGTCAAAAAGCCAACTTGCAAATGTGAAGGTTGTACCTGTGACATCAACCAACCAGTGATTAATTTGAGTGTTGAAGATTATCTGCATCATTTTCTTATGGGCCTTGATGGGGTTTATGCGACGATTCGCTCAAATTTGCTTTCTCAAGATCCATTGCCAAATATTGATCAAGCATATCAGTGAGTCATTCAAGACGAGAGGTTGCTGCAAGGAGAATCTTCAATTCTTCAGAACCGTGACAATGTCATGGCTTTTAAAGCTACACCTGCTATGCGAGGTAAATCTAAACTTATGGACAATTCTGAAAAATTCTATCCTCACTGCAACAGAGAAGGACACGACGAACACTCATGTTTTCAGCTTCATGGATTCCCCGAGTGGTGGGGGGACCGTCCTCGTGGTGGTCGTGGATCGGGTCGTGGCAGAGACACATCAGGGCATTCTGGAGGGCGTGGCAGAGGCACCTATAATGCACTTGTGCGCG